ATGCTTATCATGTGTGTGTGATTATAGCTAATAATTGCCAGTGGAAGTATATATGGGGAAAGTATTTAGGATCATTAATTTTAAAAGAGTAATTAGAAAAACATGTAAATCCATAAAGAACTCTTTTTTGAAGTATGCTAGAATTTCCAAACATGCCTGATTTATGGGAGTCTCAATTGCATAAATGTTTGCAATATTTTGCAATGAAGTAAAAATTATTTTCAAAGCTGATAAGAATGCTCAGAGGCATAGTCAATCATTTGATGATTCACAGTTCTATGAAACTCCAGCACTCCATCCTCATTTTGAGCCTAAGCACAGGCATCTGATAAAGAAGGAGCCAGAAAGGAAGAATTACACAGTGACCTAGACAATAGTGTCATGTCAGCTTTAGCATCAGATCAACTGATTGCAATGGCTGATTGTACTGTTTATGGCAAGAATTATTTGGAAAATTTGAATGAGTAATCCTCTCTTGATCATCACAGGAATGACTCTTGGTATGAATCCAGTCATATTAAACAATTACAGAATCACAAAGCTAGAAAGGATTTTATGAGAACTAGCTGATTTATTTCTTACCTTGCAATAAAACCCACATGCCACAAAATACTCTAGGCAACTGAAACTTAATCTTTGAGAAAAATAAGACCCATTCATTCATCCAACAAATATTTATTATTTGTGAACTGTCTAGGTGCTTGGTATCCATTAGTACACAAAACAGGCAAAAACCTCTGCCTTTGTGGAACTTGTAGTTTAATGGGGCAATAAAAAGGATTCCATGGGTTTCCCTTTATCAATATCAGTAATCCTTGTTGGCTTTATATATATTGGATGTTGCTTTGTTCGTATTATAAGAAACTATCCACAAAATAGACCTAATCACTAATAGTTGTGAGAAAAGAGTTTAGAATTTATTTGCATCAATCCCTTACTTGAAATAAAAACTAGGCCTTCAAATGCCCAGTCCAACATTCTTTACTTTTTGCCCACTTCTTCAAAAATATCTTCTTTTTCCTACATTGATGTAGTTATAGAATGCATTCACAAAACCTAGCACAACCTCCATATAACTACCTATAAATCTTTTGGTTCCATATGACAGAAACCCAACTTGAATAGTTGAGGTTAAAGGAAAGAGGGGGTGTGGGTTAAGCAAATAAATTTTAGTTTTTCAAGGACCCCAAAACACAAATAGAGCTACTCCTAGGAAATGAGCACTCAGACACCATTGGGACTGTCCATGTGCCCCTTGCTCTATTTTCTTCTGAAAAATTATCCTATTGATAGAAGTCAGAATCACCTAGTGGTTTCTGGTGCTAAACTGCCTGGGTTCAAATCCTGATGATTTCACTTTTGAGCTGAGTATTCTGGAACAGGTCAATAATCTTTCGAATCCTCAATTTCCTCATCTGTTAAAATTAGGATAATTAATAGTATCCACCTATAGGATTATAGCAAAAAAGTAAATTAAATAATTTCCAGGGCTTTGGTACAATGCCTGCCTCATAGGAAGTCTTCAATAAATGCGAACAGTCATTACAAAGTAAGAAATGTCAAGGGCGAGCTGGGGAGAGCTGAGCTGCTGGGTATGGGAGTAGTCAATTAAGACAACAAGCCAAAATGAACATCAATTAAGCCTTTATTCACTTAGGAAAAGAAAGTTGGAAAGAAGGTCCTGGCTCCCCCAGTGTCCCTTATTTTCATACAGAATGACACCAGGTGAGAGTCAGATGTATCAGCACATATGGGGGAATTGTCTCACTGCTGGAGCAAACCCTGAGGCTCCTGCAGTTTTATGGACCAGTGCAGGTGTGAGGAGGAAGGCAAGGAGAAGGGAAGGGCTAGGAATGGAAAAATATCAAGTCAGAATACCAGAAAGTGTCTTCAAGGCAATCCCCTCCCTCAGCCAGAATGTTCTCAGCAGAGGCTCCTAGGGAAAGGCCTAAGGCCAAGGCCCAGATAAAGAGGCCTCTGAATGGAGGCTTCTGGGCTAAGCAGGCAGATATTGCCTAAAAATGTGGCCAGCCAAAGGGACCTGAGTTCTGGACTACAACTCTCTTCAATATAAAGCCATCCTAATTACCTGTATTCAGGCCTAAAATATCATTCACAGATTTTTGGCCAGGAGCTGTACTCTTTATGAGGATTCTGCATTGTTGAGAAAGCTTTCCCCTCCTAGATGGGTAATGTTTTATCCCCTAAAGTTTCAACACTTCATATTTCATGGATATTTTGTGGTTTTCCTTTTAGTGAGATAGTGTAGGTACATGTCTTAAAATGAGTCTTGGAATATAAGAAATACCCATCATAGGTTATGTTTTACTCTTATTGTTGTTGTTGCTATTGTTGTTGTTGTTGTTGTTATATAATTATTCAAATGATAGGACTAACATAACAACTTATTTTATTCTCTACAGGGTTAGGTAATGTCATCATTGCTCATACTGAAGGCTTCTGAAAAATCATCCCTTGATCTTATTATGTAGAGCTTATCCTCTCTGTACCCAGGAAGAATGAGAGTTGCAAATCTACATTCCCAAAAACAAACACAAAAATTTAGTAGCTGGCAGCATAACATCTTGGCTATCTACTGAGATCTTCATTTAAGGCATTGTTTAAAAAATAATCAATAATCACTACAAGATGTATGAAGTTTCCTGTTTAAAAAGCATCTAAATTTGTTTTAGTATTCAATAAAAATGGAAGTCCCACTTTGTGCCAGGAATTATGTATTTAAGAAGGTAGTGGGGAGGGGCGCCTGGGTGGCTCAGATGGTTAAGCGTCTGCCTTCAGCTCAGGTCATGATCCCAGGGTCCTGGAATAGAGCCCCACATCGGGCTCCTGGCTCAGCCGGGAGTCTGCTTCTCCCTCTCCCTCTGCCTCTCCCACTGCTTATGCTCTCTCTCTCTCTGTATCTCTGTGTCTCAAATGAATAAATAAAATCTTTAAAAAAAAAAAAGAAGGTAGTGGGGAGACAAAAACAGTAATTTTTCCTGACTTAATGGAAACTTACAGATAATTAGTACAATAAATGTTAATCTATGAAGGAGAGGAACATGATACTACATTGGAGGGAACAGAGCTAACCTGGGAGGTGGGGACAGGTAGTCAGGGAAGGTTTACACTAACCTATAGATGTTTACATTGAGATCTAAAATATGAGTAAGAGTGAATTCAGTAATTCATTGAAGAATGGAAGGTGTCTAGATTCCTCCACTCAAGGAAAACTATATCATCAAAACCACTGTTTCTCAAATTTAGCTACACTTTAGAATCATCTTGGAAACTTTTTTTTTAAAGATTTATTTACTTATTTGAGAGAGAGAGAGCACACACACCCATGTGCAAGTGGAGGGCACAGAGGGAGAAGGAGAGAGAGAATCCTCAAGCGGACCCCCCAATGAGTGCAGAGCCCAATGCTGTGGGGCTCGATCTCCCGACCCTGAGATCATGACCTGAGCTGAAACCAAGAGTCAGCCACTTAACCAACTGAGCGACCCAGGTGCCCCATCTTGGAAACTTTGGAAAATACTGGTGTCTGGATTTCATGTCCCGAAATCCTGATTTAATTGGCATGGCATATAGCTGTGGCATTGTTTTTGTTTGTTTTTTTGTTTTGTTTTGTTTTCACTCCCAAGTGGTTCTGATATACTTCAGTGTTTGAGAAATAATGTTTAAATCCTTAAGGCAGGAGGAGTGTGTCTAACTCAAGAAACTGAAGGAAAATGAGTACGGTTGGAGTTCAAACACTGAGAGAGAATGTGGTGTGACAAGAGATTGTGAATGTAAAGTGTGACAAATCACACAGGTCTTGGTTGGCCACATTAGAAGTTTGGTCTTTCTCTTGATAACAATGGAAAACTGTGGAAAGATTTTAGACAGAGGACATCATTTTTAATTTATATTTATGTTACAGCATAGAGTGAAGATTGTAAAAGAGAAGCAATGGAGTTAGCTTGGACTAGGATGGTGGCAAGGAGATGGAGTTAAATGGATTTGGGAGTTTGTTTTTGGAAGGGAAATTGGCAGATTGGCAATGGATTAGATATGTGTGGTTGTAAGACAGATTTGTTAGTTTTTGGCTAGTGGGAGGATGGATGGTAGGGGGTAGATTATGAGTTTAATCTTTTAGATATTTGAGGTGACTTTGAGTTATCTAAGCAGAAACATTGAAGAGATAGTAAAATATAAACAGATGTCCAGGCTTCAGATTTTAGATTATTTGGGAAAAAAGATCTACAGTACAATAGAAATGCTTTAAGTTAAACTTTTTAAGTGTTCGTTAACTTTGTAATTTCAAAAAAATAAATATTTTACTTATGCAAAACACTGTAATAGGCACTGGGCACACAAAGATAATTAAGATGGTACCCCTGATTATTTAATAGACAAGGAAAGAAAGAGAATTCTAATGTGGTTTTAAAATGAAGATTCCCCCGTTAAAACATCTCGAGATAGCAAAGAATGAAGGAGAGGAAAATCCAGCAAATTTTATCAGGTTGTAATCACTAAATGAGAAAATATTATTAGAAAAAAATCTGATCAGAAAAAAAGGAAAGCTAGTAGAATTTGAGTGAAGGGAATCACCCTGAAGAATTACAAAAATTGGCAAAGGTACAATATGATAATAGGACACGATCTCAGGGGATGTTTTGCTTTTTCATTCAGTTTTGAACTGGAGAGACAAAAAAAGGAAAAAAAGAAAAAAGGAAGGAGAAAAGAAAAAGAGGGAGAAGAAAGAGGATAACAGGAGTTTTAATGAATGCATTCATTTATCAGATATTTATTGGTACCTACCGTGTTCTAATATATCAATACTATGATAAGGGCTAGGGGTACAAGAGTAGACAAGGTAGGCATCATTCTGACTTCACAGAGTTTATAACCTCCTATCCTATTTAGAGCAAGAAAAATAAAATTGCTTGTTTATTTGAGAAAGTATCCCTAGTTAGCTTTTGTAAAGGAAGCCAGTAAAAATGATGCCTTCAGGCGTCAGGCGCCATGTCTGGCCAAGAAGGTGGCAAGAAGAAGCCCCTGAAGCAGCCCAAGAAGCAGGCCAAGGAGATGGACGAGGAAGATAAGGCATTCAAGCAGAAACAGAAAGAGGAGCAGAAGAAACTCGAGGAGCTAAAAGCGAAGGCCACGGGGAAGGGCCCCCTGGCCACAGGTGGAATTAAGAAATCTGGCAAAAAGTAAGCTGTTCCTTGTGCCTGAGGCAATGATGATCCTTAATTCCATTCCTGTTTAAACATCTGAATTCCCTGTCATAGCATCTGTTGCTACCTATAGCTGGAATGAAGTGTTGTGTTAGATCCTGTTGTACATTTAAGAATAAACTTTTGTAAAAAAAAAAAAAAAATGATGCCTTCAGTCAATGAGGTTAAGTAGCCATTCTATGAGACTGCATTCCCTGGGTGTTAAGGCAAGTTTTAGAGCAGGACTTCTCAATCTTGGCTGGAGGTTGAAATCACCTGGAGAGCCGTACATAAGACTGATGCCTGGATCCCATCCCTGGAGATTTGGACTTCATTGTTCTGGGTTTGTGCTGGTACATAGGAAGTGTTTAAAATTTTCAGGGGGTTCTAATATGCAGCCAAAGTTTGAGAACCACAGCTTTAGAGGCATGCTTCCTCACTGAAACTAGGAAGGGACTCCAAATGATGAGGCTGAGCAAGAAAGAAGAGTGCTGATTTTATAGGAATGATGATAATTAACACTTCTTTAGTCTTTAGGTGTCAAGAACACTTCTAAATACTTGATATATATGAAGTCAGTTAAGAATGCCACCAACCCTGTGAGGAAGTCGCTTTTACTGTGCCCATTTGAGAGGTGAAAAAACTGAGGCCCAAAGACACATGTGCAGCAAGTGTCAGAGTAGGTGCTTGAACCTAAGCAGTCTGGTTCTAGAGTTTCTGATCTTAGCCACTATGATATACTGCCTCTAGATATAGTGTAACAGTAATTTTACACCAAGAAGAATTATACAAGAAGGGAAAACTTATAATAATGGTAAAATATTATTAATCAGCTAAATGCCAGGTGATAACTGAGAGTAATTATTATGGCTGCATGAAACATCTTTGAGCTATTTTTTTTTCATATCTATAGCTTCTCATGTTTATATTCTTCATTTGTGGAAATCAGCTAAGTTCATCTTATTTTACATGTACATTGTTACATGGTACAGAAATTTTGTTTGCAGCAGCAATATAGGGAAATGGAAGCAGTGGAATCAGGGGATATTTTTTTCTGATTTCTTTTTCAAAGACATTTTCTCCTAAAGAAAACTCAAGAGCTAAGGCTATTTCACATAATCTAAAGAACGTCTACTTCATGGTAATGACCAAGTGTAAGAATAGACTCTTGGGAGGAAATAATCATCCCCTAGGGAGCAAGTCCTACAAATTGAACCTGTTTTACAGGTGGAAATATCACCAAAAAAAATATTATTGGAGGGATTACTGACACACCACATGCCTGTACATATCAAAGAAAAACATTCCAATTTAACTCTATAAAACATGTATCTGAGCCAACCTGCCATATGTATTTTTTACATTTTCTATGCCATTATAGAAGTAATATCTACCAAATAAATGCTGTGCATTTCTGAATGGTTAGCTTTTGGCTACTTTGCCTATGCCTTATTGTTCCTTTTTTTCCTTTGAAGGCTGAGAAAGCAAATAAAGGAAATGCAGTGGCCAGCAGCCCACAGCCTGCAGTGTGGTGGATAGTCTGTGTCCTGCAGCTGGGGCTTCCATACTATAGCCAGGCTTCGTTTGTTCCATATGAATACAAGCTAATAAATGTAGGGAATTCCATTTGGTATTCAATTAAGAGCTCTCTTGACTCCTGTGATTAAGGCCTATGACTATTAAGCGTAAAATTAAAGTTGAACAGTTCAGCTCTTTTTTGACATTATAACACTGCCTGAAAAATAGTGATGCAAAACCAAGTCAAACGTCATCCTTTAAAGCCCCTGAACAAATGAAAAGAGGAAATATTGAAAGGAAAAGAGTAAATATCTAAAACTTGCTCATTTGCTAATGACGTGACACATCATGTTAGGAGCCTATTAGTGTCCTCATGCAAATACAGCAACCATTTTGTTGAACACAAGATATTACATTGATTTTAACAGAGAGCGACAAGATTATTATTGCTAAAGCTCCAATGAAGGGGATAATTAAAGCATTAAGCATCTTTAAGGTTTTAAAGTGACTTTCAGCAATAACCAGATAATACTATAGGAAATCGATATACTGTAATTGAAAGGAATTTGAATTGGTCTTTATTTTTTTAATCCCTTCTAAATTTTCTCTAGACTGTCAGACCATGGGAGGTAGTGAATCTTGTTTTGCCATCAGCAGTATGACTTTCTGTAAATCTCATGTGCTGCAGGGGCTACTTTTATTATTTTTTTACTTAGAAAGTGTTCAGCTGAATAGAGAGTATTATAAGATTCTGTGTGCATTATCTTTATTAGTCTCTGGCCTCATTGTTTAAAAAAAGGGGGGGCCAAAAATAAAAATGCAATCAGACAAAAACAACCTTCTCCACATATCCAGAGAAATCAAGTTAATAGAATTTCTAACAATGAAACCAGAGAAATTGTTAGATAAGCCTCACACTTGAACTTAAATAAAATTCTTCTAGGCTTTTTTTTTTTTTTTAATCAAACACTATGCCTGTCAATCTGGATACACTGCAAGGAATATGACCCATTGTAGATACAAATTCATTTTGAATCTGTGTGAACCTAACTCATTTGTATTGCTTATTATTGGAAAGACCTATTACAATCAAACAGAAAAGCTTGAAGGGAACCTCAGGGAGATGAGTGGCTGTGAACAGAAATTAAGGAATCTTAAAACTTGAAAAATCCTTCAAAAAGATGTGAATAATCAACATTTTCTCTGTGTGTTTCTGTTGTTTATTTCCTCATTTATTTCTGGTGTACATTTTGAGAAGCATCATAGACCTTATGATGAATGAGATGTGTTCCACACTTATCTGTAGTAATTTGGTGACACAAAGTAGAGATTTCCAGAAATGTTTTTGAGAATCTCTTGTCCATTTCATTTTTCTGTTACTTTCCTTATTCTACTCAATGCCTCTTGACTGATTAAGTGGATAAAAGATAACACAGTAGAAGGAGCACAGTCTCTCAATTCTCAGTTTCCCCTTCTGTAGAATGGAGATAATAATGTTGCCTTTCTCATTGTATTGTTTTGAGAAGTAAATTAATTAATATAAGTAAAGACCTCAGAGGATTATATACTATGCATTATGTACATGTTATAATTTCTTTGATAAAAATGATGATGATGATGATTTGCATTTTTAATTGTATTGCCAAAATGTGAATTCACCAGTTGTTATATTGAGGCAGCTACTTAACAATTCTGAGCTTTAAGTTTTTGACTAAAATATAGGAATAATATTTTCTCTACTTACCTTAAATAGATATTTATGAAAAAAATTCATAAGCTATAAAACAGAACTGTAATTGAAAGCACTGAATCTGGACTTTTATTTTTTATTTTTTTAAAGATTTTATTTATTTACCTGAGAGAGAGAGAGAGAGGGAGAGAGAGTGAGGACAAGCAAGGGAGGGGCAGAGAAAGAGGGAGAAGCAGACTCCCTGCTACACAGGGAGCCCGATGCGGGGCTCGATCCCAGGACCTGGAGATCATGACCTGAGCTGAAGGCAGACGCTCAACCGACTGAGTCACCCAGGCGCCCCAAATCTGGGCTTTTAAAAGCACTCGTTTAAATCCTAGTTTTATCTCTTAGTAGTTATGTGACTTTAGTAAGCCCTTAGTTTCTATGTTTATAAAATAAAAATTGTAGCAACACCTTCTCCTAAAGTTATTTTGAGGCTTAAATGAGATCAAGTATAAAGAGCTCAGTATCATGGCTAACACTTAGAAATTATTCCAAAAAATGTAAAAAAAAAATAGTTCTATTCAATATAGGAAATAAGTATTATCTTAATTTCTGAATGATTTCTTTGTTTTGCCCCAGTTTGATATGTAACAAGTGGATATATTTTATTTCTAGTTTTCCAGATAATCTGTATTCTAAACATTCTCTACCTCAAAATTCATCTCTGAAATTCCTAGCTCTTGGTGTCCATAGCTAATATTCAGCCAACTTTAAGTGTTAGAGTTTGTACATATGAACAACTGAATTAAGTAAAAGGTGTTACCAATCCTAAAAATCCCAGCTGTTATGATGAAGAGAAACAACTTTACAAGTACTATCATCAAAAGACACGTGAGTCAAATAGCAAGCCACGGAGGGGGTGGGGTGAGGAGAGAGAGAAAATAGAAATGGAAAAAATCATCAGGCAGAGGAGAAAATGATGTCTTGTAATATATATGAGAAAGAACTTGGCCAAATTTTTTTTTTAAGTGAGAAGAAACATTATATATGTACACATGATATATATATACAAATGTTTAAGTTACGGCCCACGTCTGAAGACAAATATTTTTATTGTTATTTCAAAATCCCAAATGTTTGAGTGCCTTAGAATTTTTAAACCATTGACTATATTTAGTTATGTTTAAAGGAAGATGTAATTAAGAAGCTAGAAATTATATATGTTTAAATGTTTGTCCAGAACATTGTTGAAACAAATTGCTCAGCAAGTTTTATTGTTATTCCATAGTAAATATTTTGACTAGTCAATCACCAAAATGCTATGGTCAAGTTGGCATTAATAGATGTCATTTATTTAGGCAAACTGACAGTAGATTCACCAAGGAAGACAAAAAAAGAAATTCTTGTATTTACTTTGGTAACTTAGCCATATTTACCTTGAACAACATGATGTCCTAAAAGCTACTCATTAAGCTTAGAATTAAGTAATAGAACTGTGGATAGTGTAGTAGGTCTTCATTTAATGTCATAAACCACCTTTTCCACCAGTATTAATTTAGTCTAAGAAAATAAAATCTTCTTGAAAAAGTTACTAGAAAAAGTGCACATCAAGGAATGTAATTGAGCATAGACTGGTTGACCTGAGAAGAGAACAAAAAGCTCGAAAGAAATTTCATAAGGTTTTAAATTGGGCAAGAGGACTACACTATCTCTGATAATTAGACTTTCAATACATTTGGATTTGCTAATTGGATCTAAGTTCTAATGAGACTTTTTAGGAAACTAAGAATGATATCATTATATGAATTTAATGTGCTTTTATAGTTGAAACCTACAATTAGCAGCCCTTTCCAAATTGTTTTAATACAGAGAAAGCTGGCTTTTTGTTTATATTGTGACATCCCTTCTCTTAAGATATATTATGTATATTTTAGGTTTCTTAATTAAACACCTCTTGGGGACTCAAAGA